CACCACACACACACACACACACACACACACACACACACACACACACACACACACACACACACACACACACACACACACACACACACACACACACACACACATTCAAAACTAGAAGAGATCATTAGGCGTTTAAGATGTCTCTGCGAAGTATTACTCGTATTTTTTTCTATTTGTTGGAGATAATGTATCTTTTTTGCATTTATCTATTGTCATAGCGTCTGTATAAAAAATATTAAAAAATATTTAAAAAATATTTAAAAAATATTTTTAAAAATATTAAAAAAAATAATATTAATAGCGACTCTGTTGATTTCAATAACCTTAACAAATACTGTGTAAGATTATGATGAACAGAGTTCAAAAGATTTCAACCGTCACTTGTTGTTTATTAAAAATTTATTAATAAATGAAATAGATCGCTAACATACATGTTAAATGCTCTAATTTGTATGTTACTGATTATAAATTCTATGTTATTCTATACTGATAATATGTATTTGTATAGATGCATCTTTAATTATATGCTTTGGCAGAGAGAGGTAAATTTCCTATAGGTTTTCCTCTTCTGCACTCCTACCTTGAAAACATCCTGATTCAATTTAAACCTAATTTTAGTTTTAAATAAGAAATAGATTTAAATTAGAATTAAAGTTAGATTAGAATTTTTCGGAGTAGGGATCTAGGGATAGTTAGAAGCAGAGGATCTTCTTTGCGATGTACTTAAACAAAAATATGTAAATAATATTAAATTTATTTTGTAACTTGGTAAGTTCAATTATGGCATTTAATATACTTTTGTATGAGTAACTTTATTTTGAAATAACTTTTTATACAATGGATAGCGATAACTGAAATATTTTACATAGAATCATGACCTTGAAATGTTATGTTAAATCATCATGAGGATTATTAAATCATCATGAGGTCATTAAAAAATATACAATTTTATTGATTTTATTGATAATAATATTTATTGCTTTTTTTATTTATAGTTATCATTATATCTATATTTTTAATACAAGAATTCTAAAGTTCTAAATAAATAACAACGCTTTCTTTACAAAATATTAAAATCTTAATAGGATTTAACAAATAGAGTACATTAAATATAAAATATGTTTTTTTGAATCGTGATCCATTTTCAATGAAAATCTTGACGCTTTGAAAATATCGTATGACAATGTTTTCATTACAGATCTACCATGCAACCATTTACGACGGGCAGCGCAATGGCAACCGAAACACCAACAAGTTTGCCACCTGAGAGGGTGATCACTCCGACACCCTGCCGAAATCTCACTTTTTCTATCGCAAAAATCATGGAACCAGATAAACGATTGACCGAGCAGAACGCTAACTTGATGCCTCCAGCGCCGCCAACAATATCAGCGACAACGACGACAACTATTCTTCAACAACCGTCAAATATTTCCTCTTCGTCGTACTCAGCGCATCTCAAATCGGCATTCGAGAAATATGTACCAACTTTGAGGCATCAAGATTTACTCCAACATTATCCCGTACTGTCCAAGTACTATCCGTTATACTATCCGAGTCCATTATTAAGGGCTTTCCCAGGTCCAGCAGCTTCAACTCCATCGATCACGCAGAATTCGCCACCTCCCACAACCGTTCAAGAAGCTTCTTCAAGATTAAATCTGATCAATATGTCGCCAGAGAATCAGCGTGGCAAAAAGAGTCCGGCACCGCGCAGTGAGCTCGGTACTACAAATAAACAGAAGACTTTTACTTGCCCGGAATGTGGTAAAGTGTTTAATGCACATTATAATCTAACAAGACATATGCCAGTACACACGGGTGCACGGCCATTTGTCTGTAAAATTTGTGGCAAAGGTTTTCGTCAGGCGAGCACGCTCTGTCGACATAAGATCATTCATACTGCTGAAAAACCCCACAAATGTGTAACGTGCGGCAAGGCTTTCAATCGTAGCTCTACTCTTAATACTCATACACGCATACATGCCAATTTCAAACCGTTTGTCTGCGAATTCTGTGGTAAAGGTTTCCATCAAAAAGGCAACTATAAGAATCACAAACTAACGCATAGCGGCGAGAAGGCATATAAGTGCAACATTTGTAACAAAGCATTTCATCAGATCTATAATCTGACGTTTCACATGCATACGCATAATGACAAAAAACCATTTTCTTGTAAGATATGTGGTAAGGGCTTTTGCAGAAATTTTGATCTCAAAAAGCATATGCGGAAATTGCATGATACAGGTTCACCAGTGCTTAATGGATTGGATACTTCAAGTCAGACTCATAATCAACAATCAGGCTATTCGTCAGTATACCATGGTCCAGAACATTCTATTGTCAGTCCATTTATACTTCCCCCACCTGGATCTACCAGTTATCACTCTCTAAGTAAGATGTTGTGACAAAGCGAGAATATGCACTATTCCAGAAAGACTCAATATCCGCTTATTCTTGGTACTTCACCTTGCTACTCGGCTGATATAGGTCAATTGGTGCAAACATCTAAGTGAAAAATAAAGGAGGCATTAATTAAAGTTTGATCTCTTATTTCCTAAAAATATTCCCTGATTTAATTATAAAAATGAGCCGGAAGCTATATTCTCGATATATTTTGCTGAAAATATATGCAACTTTAAAAGGATATAATCCACAATAAAATTTTTAAATACAACAAACGTTTTAACACGTTTACTGCTATTAAAAATTAGAATACCTTTCTAAAATGCTTCTTATTTTTTTATATTCCGTATCTCATGTAAAAATAATAAAAAAGTTATTGAAACGTTTTCAATAACATTTTTAATAATTAATATTAGAAGTATTGAGCAATCATTTTTAATTGATTTTATTTTTATAAATTAATTTCGAAAATAGGATTAAAAATTTTTAATTTTAATATTCCATCAGAATAAAGTGAATAATTGATGAAAAGTTAGAAAATCTGAAAATTGTATCTTCAATACGTGGAAAAAAAATATTGATATAAAAAGATATAAGTGATTAGATATGACTTTTTGTAATTCTAATGTTAAAACATTTTCATATAATCTGAGACGGAGTGTGGGTATGCTGCAGTCAATCTAATAGATCCATTAAATGGTTTATAACAGTAAATGTATTAATTCAATAAAAAATAATACTAATGATTTCTTCGATGAATCGGACAATTAGTTACTTATTATCACAATTAAAATTACTAAATCTAATCAAATTTAATAAGTATCTCAATAAATTTGTCTGACTTTTTTACTTTCACTATAATGAAAATAAAGTATTCTTGATTTTATATTTTTATAAAATAATTGAAAATTAAAAGTGGATTAAAAATTATATTTTCAAATTTATATAAAAATATCTGATATAACAAAAAATTAATTTTTGAAGTTTTTATAATATCTCATTGTTAAATATTTTTGATTAAAATTATATTAATATTACATTTTATCAATTTGTAGTATGCTGTGAATAAAAATAAGATTGTTGAACTTTTGACTGAATTGTATGTATTAACGCTTTATGATCAATATAATTTTGTAAAATATTTACGAAATATATTGAATACAAACGAAATCAATCATATTACAGAGATAAATCATTTGGATATAGATAGCCTAGTAATCTCTTCACCAATTGCTAAAGGGTTTTAATGATTAATTTTGAATGTTGCTGCTTGCATCAATGAATTTCTGCGGGCTAATGTAAATATTTGTAAATATTTGTATGTGCAAAGCAAATACGTTACGCGCATAACGGTGGACGGGAATGTGAATTACTAGCAAAATGATCTGTAATTAGGGGTCTCTGAATACAGAGAGCCATAGGAATACAATTTAATCCAAAAGACTTATCAAAAATTCGTCCAGATCTCACAAAATATTTGCCCTTGAATTCCATTACGTGTTAATTATTCTATTGTGTCGCAAAAATAAAATTAATTAATTAATTGATTAAATTATGTTCTTTCTTTTAGTACAAATATAAATTCCTATAACAAAAGAACAACATATAATATTCTTAGAAATATATTAATGAAACTTAGATAAATCTGTTTATCTTATTTTAAATCAATACAAATTGCATATTCTTCTAATTACCTGTTTTTTTTATGAAATTAGATAGAAAGATTTTTATATTGTCGAATTAAAATTGACGCATAATTGAACGCGAAAATTAGAAAAGATTCTTTGTATTATTAAATTACGAATGAAAATTTATAGCTAACGAAATATACAAAGCGATCTTATATGTTGACCGCATTACTTTTAGGCAAATGTATAAATCGGTGTGATAGTAGTTTTAAGTCATAAATAGCAAATTAAATATTGGTCATTATTATAATTATTATAGCTAAATCACGATCACTGTGGATAATGTGACTACGGTCAGCTTTGCAATAGAAACAAGAATGTTTATGATACGATTATTATTAGAACCTGTGTAACTATTTATGCATTTTTATTTACATTTCATAAAAAACATAATCTAAAAGGCATTTTCTGTTGTACATAAGATAAATTTTGGTATCACAAAGTAATATTGATTATTATAACAATGATTTGTTTCAATGTATGTTGAAAATTTATTTTAAGCAAAGAGAGTCGTAATGGGCTCTTATTTGTATATTATGCAAGCTAGATAAGCGGCAAATAATTGAGATGAAATTAATCAAGCGTAACTAAAAACGAAAAGTTTTATATGTATAATTAGTAGAGTAGATGAAAATGCATATGTATGTGTCCCTCTTGTGTAAATATGAATCAACCTGATGCAATAAATTCAGCGATATCAATGAAATATTGTTTGTTCTTTTAACCTTTCTTAGATTTATAATTACATAAATTATTAGATTTATGACAAAGAAGATTTGCAAATTAACTTATGCATATAATTTAATTAAAAAAATGAAAAGTTATAATAAAAATAAATAAATAAAAATAATAAAAATAAATAAATAAAAAAGTTACAATAAAAATTAAATCATTTTGTTTTAAATAAATTAATTTTGATAACAATTAAAATTTATTTTAAGAGATTCAACATTTAAATTTTAGTTTTTTAATAAAAATGCTAATCTATAAATAGATTATTCCCATACAATAAAAATGTCCAAAATACTTTATAAGGTTATTCTGAAAATATCGATTCTGATATTTTCAGGATATTTTTGTGATGTATTTTGACTTTTCTGTTGTATAGATTAGATCTACGTAGAAGAAAGAATAAATGATTCTATATTAAGGTAAGGTTATTATTTTTTAAAAATATTATTCTGTAATTACACTCTGACACTCTGGGCTAGTAAAATAGATTGAAACAGGTTACTGAACAAGACAGTGCTTTATCAATATCCAAATAAGCGTGTATCCAGCGTGCGAAAAAAAAGTCAATGTTATGAGTACTTACGATTATAAGGGCAGGATGTTTGGAAGTGCGATCTACAAATCTACATACAAATGATCTACACAAGGTCCTGTCAAGTGACATGGACCTAAAAATATATGGATGGAGCATATATTGCCAGTTAGGGTAAGAGGGGCAATGAGATTAGCGATAAGGGGGAACTACATGCACATCGGGTCGATTCGGATTGATGGAATTATTCGGCAATTCGGCTTCCGAATCCTAGCTATTTGCTTTTAAAGTAAATGCATGTTGTGATCACAAATAAAAACTTGTGCTAATTTTAAAGTTTTAATGAGTTATTATATAGTACCCGAATGCAGTAATCGAAATGGTTTTAAAAGAAAAATTATGAGCAAGA